TGGGGACTCACGTTTACCGCGGTAGTGAGCACGACTGATCGCGTGGCAGTGCAGAGCAGCCATGTTGTAGACACCGACGAATGTAGACGCTGACGACTCGGTTGCCATAATGGGCGGCATGAGGAATCGCCAGTCCTCCTCCGCTGCCAGCGGGCCCCCTGCTGTTCCTGAACACGCATGGGGGGACAGGCCGAACTTCTAGGCTGGAGCAAACGCGATCCCTCGGCCATCGCATCGTCCCAAGACCAGGGGTCGCTTTCGGTGCGCGTTGCGCTCGCTATGCCAGCACAGTATGGCACGGCCCTTTGAGACAGCGCTGTCAGGGGCCAAACGATAGAGCAGCGTCTGAGGGGCTGCGCCAGGTGTGAAACGGCTGGCGCCCCACTATGGGTCGTATCTTCGTCTACCAGGGTGATCCGCTCCCTCGGTCTCGTGCTCAGGGGTGTGGCTGGGAGCCAGAGGCTCCAGCTCAGGAGTGAGAGGAGAAACTGGGCTCCACTCCTCCTGCGCCTCCTGTGCGGGCGGCTGCATGGCCAGCTGCTCCAGCCGGCGGGCGAAAACGCGTCGGACTCGGCACGAGCCTGACGGCGCCAAGGAGGCGCCAGGGCCCCCGGGCAAGAAGGGGTAGCTGAGGTCCCTCACCCCCTTGGTGCGGTTTGAGTCTGTCGCGTGCGGCAGGCCTGAAGGTGGTCCTGGATGCCACGACGGATGACCATGTGTACTCTATCTGGCGCTTGAGCCGCCAATTCCATCATCTTAGTGGAAGGATTTGGCCGTCAACTCCGAGTTGACGAGCCCCCTTAATGGCCTCCTTCCGAGTTGACGAATCCCCTTGGCGGCCTCTCTCCGAGTTGACGAACGCCTTTGACGGCCCCCCCTCCAAATTGACGAACCCCCTTGACGAACCTCCTTGACGACCTCCCTCTGGCGTGACGAACCCCCGTGACGGCTTCCCTCCAAGTTAATAAACCTCCTTGACGGCCCCCGTCACCGCTCCCTCCGTCTTGACGAACAAAGCGTCGGGGCCGAGCTGATGACCCAAAACGACCTCGGTCTTGACGGACAAATGGTCGGGGCCGAGTTGACGGCTCCTCTCGTCTTGACGAAAGAAGTCTTGGAGCTGACTTGACGATTAGTTTCGCCTTGGCGAACGTAGCCTTGGGGCCGACTTGACGACCGTTGTGGGCGCTTCTCCAGAGATGCGCTGTCTCAGCCACTGGGTTGGACTCAAGGTGAGGTTGTTGCGTTGGCCCCTCTTGGTCCCCATCAACCGTGCGCGGAGGGACAAAGAACGAGGCAGAAGAGCAGGAGGATGCTTATCCCGCTCTCGGTGCTTGAATCATTTCGTTGAAAGAAAATACTGTCATCGGCCACGCGACCGGGACAGCTATGGGGAACAAGGGGCTAGCAACACGCCGTACGGCAGCCCCCCATACAAGAGTGGAACCGGGGCACACCTCAAGCCACACCTAAGCCCTATATAACATGACTGACTGCGTGGTGACCGTTTGGACTGCCACCGCTACGTTCCAGAATGTTGGCTGCCTGGGGGGCGCACGATTTGTCCGCCTGTGTGGGAGCAACCAAGAGATTTATGCTACACGATGCATTCAACACACTGGCAGCAAAGATGCTATACTGTGCTTCTCGACTTGGTGCTGTACTGGCGCACGCGCACGTGCAATCACGCATGCATGGCCGCGCCCGCAGCAGCCAGATAAACCGTTACATCCCACATCCTGCTCTTCCTCGTCCTCCGCTTCCGCTTCCGGACTCCCAGAGACCTCGAGGGGATGACTGGAACGTTGGGGGAAGGGAGGGCATCTGAAGGGAACACCATTCCTTTGCCTCTCCCTCCCTTCACCATCACCATCCTCATCACAAACACCAGCAATCTCCTCTTCGGCAACACCATCATCTTCATTACAGGCATCATCATCATCAGCAGCATCATCATCAGCAGCATCAGCATCACCATCATCATCAGCAGCAGCAGCATCAGCATCATCATCATCACCATCATCAGCAGCATCATCTTCCTCGCCGAATCGCAATCATTATCGTCATCGCCGGCATCATCACCCCATGATCACCACCACTAGCATCAGGTTAGCTATCATCGTCTTGCTCATCATCATCGTCCTCGTCAACGTCATAATTCGCCGGCCCAACGGGCCAGGGCGTGCTAAGATCTCCGGTAACAGGTAAACAGGATTTCTAGTTCGCGCGCGCGGGGCGGCCCCTAGGAGTCCCCGGGCGGAAAAAAAACCGGCAGGTCCCCGGGAGGGTGGGGGCCAGAGATGCCGGACTTCCTGGGCGCGGGCCTGGAGGCCTCTGGAGCGCTCCAGGAGCGCTCCAAGGAGACGCCAAATATGTGGCAGGCCCAGCAGCCTGAAGCCAAGAGCGCCCCAAGACGGCCCAGATGGCCTCCAGACGGCCCAAGATGCTCCCAAGACGCCCCAAGATGCGTCCAAGAAACCTCCCAAGAGGCCCCCAAGAACCCAAAACTTATGATTTTCATTGTTTTTTTGAGGATTTTGGCGTTCTCGCCTCTTCGGCTTCCTAGCGCTCCAAGACCGCCCAAAAAGCCTTCAATATCGCCCCCATACGGCCTAGGAGGGTTCAAGACCGTTCCGAAACGACCCCACAGGGCCCCAAGAGACCCCCAGAAACCTCCAAGATGGCCCAAGATGCCCCCAAGACGGCTCCAAGACCGGGCCCCGACGGGGTACCGGAACGGACATTTCGCGCTCTAAGCCGCAAGACGTCCCCAGGAGACCTCATAACGCACCCAAGAGGCCTCAAGACGGCCCAAGATGCTCCCAAGACGCCCCAAGATGCGTCCAAGAAACCTCCCAAGAGGCCCCCAACAAGCCAAAATTGATGATTTTCATTGCTTTTTTGAAGATTTTGGCGTTCTCGCCTCTTCGGCTTACTAGCGCTTTCAGACGGCCCAAAAAGCCCTCAATGTCGCCCCAATACGGCCTACGAGGGTTCAAGACCGTTCCGAAACGACCCCAAAGGGCCCTAAGAGACCCCCAGAAACCTCCAAGATGGCCCAAGATGCCCCAAAGACGGCTCCAAGACCGGGCCCCGACGGGGGGCCGGAACGGACACTTCGCGCTCTAAGCCGCAAGACGTCCCCAGGAGACGTCATAACGCCCCCAAGAGGCCTCAAGACGGCCCAAGATGCTCCCAAGACGCCCCAAGATGCGTCCAAGAGACCTCCCAAGAGGCACCCAACAAGCCAAAATTGATGATTTTCATTGCTTTTTTGAATATTTTGGCGTTCTCGCCTCTTCGGCTTACTAGCGCTTCAAGACGGCCCACAAAGCCTTCAATATCGCCCCAATACAGCCTACGAGGGTTCAAGACCGTTCCGAAACGACCCCAGAGAGCCCTAAGAGACCCCCAGAAACCTCCGAGATGGCCCGAGATGCCTCCAAGACGGCTCCAAGACCGGGCCCCGACGGGGGACCGGAACGGACATTTCGTGCTCTAAGCCGCAAGACGTCCCCAGGAGACCTCATAACGCCCCCAAGAGGCCCCCGAGAGGCCCCAAGAGGCCCCCAACAGGCTCCAAGAGGCCCCCAGGAGGCCCCAGGAGGCTCTAGAAATACTGCCAAGAGGCCCTCGAGAGGCTTCTCAAGAGACCCCAAACGGCCTCTAAAAAACGCGTCTTGTCCACGATCAAACTTGGCTCCCAAATGTCCCCCTCCTCCTCCTCCTCCTTCTCGCTCGCCACGAGCACGCCAACATAAAGCACAATTGATACAAGATTTTCCCCGCCTCCCTCCTCATCCTTTCCGCTCGCCACGAGCTCACCAACATATGGCACACCGCGGCGACGACAGCCAAACCCCAGCGAATACGCATTATGGGCCGGCGGAATGAGCGAAGCGACTAAATATTCACCGTCACTGCCATATGTAGCATCACCGCCACCACCATCATCATTAGCATCAGTAAACGAAATTAGGTTCGCAAGAGTCTTCATGAGCAACATCATCTGCACTCCATAACTCCCCTTCCCTCCCTCTGTTCCTCCCTCCTTTCCACCATCATCATCACCAGCATCATCAGCAGCATAAGCATCGGCATCACAAGTATCATCAACATCAGCAGCAGCATCATCAGCAGCAGCATCGTCATCCTCACCACAACCATGATCATCGTCAACGTCACCATCCCTTCCTCCCTCCCTCCTTCGTCCCTCCCTCCCCCCTTCCCTTTTCCCTTCGATCCCCCATCCATCTCCCTCCCCCCCCCTCCCACCCCCTGCAGGGCCGTGCTGCATCCAGGCTCCGCCTCCGCAGGCTGTCGATGCGGCCAGAGACCCGTGCGCCACCACCACACTGCCTCCCTCCCCCCCGGCCTCCCCCTCCCTCCCCTCGCCCGCCCCGTGCCCGAGTCTCCGGACCACTCCGTGGCCAAGAGCTCCACCGACAGACCTCTAGCGAGGGCGGCGTCCTGCGACTGCATGCCCTGCCACTGGTTTTCTCCCACGAGCAATGCATACAGTAGGGGCCCGACCACAAGAAACCTTCCACAGAAGCCCAAACCCTGAGACCCCAGGGCGTCCACTTATTTTTTGGTGTGGGAACGTCACGCTTTCCATCGCAGAACCATCGAAAGCCAAGAAACCCAGGGCACCCTGAGGCGAGCAGGGTGTTTACTGGCATGGGCCCCCCCCTGTACGCGACCGCTCTGGAGCACTACAGCCGGCCACCACCCTCTCAAAACAACCGCAAAAGCACGCGGGCAAGCATCACACCAAGGCTGCAGGGAGGGTTGCTGCGGAGGGAGCGAAGCGATGGCATAGTCACAGTGCGCGAACTCGTGATCGTACAGCTCCTCTGAAGGGGCCCAGGCACACACACAAATCAATAGACACACATCCCAGGATCCTAGGATTCCCCACACTCGCCACACTTTCTAGGTTTCCTTCCTCCCCCCCGCTGCCCCTATTTTCCTCTATCTTCCTGGGAAACGACGCTTGCTTGTGTCTGTGTGTTCTCCCCTCCGGATCCTCGTCCGTCCGCCCTCCGTGCGAGCCGGCCGCCACGGGCACGTCCTCCTGATTCAGGGTCTGCAGAGACCCCTTGGCGAGGCGCGCGCGCATCACGGAGTCCCCGAGGTTGGCCACCACCGTGAGGCTTCCGATCAGCTTTATGCCGCGCAGCACAGATGCGACACACAACGCCTTCTCGTCGTCAAGGTCCTTGCCATAATCACCGATGATGATTACATCGATCGGCTCGTGTTCTTCACCTACGTCAGTTGCCAACTGAATCCACTCACCATTGCCGCTCCCCACAGACATGATCATCAGCTCGTGCATCAACTTGCTGATCGCCTTGGGGTTTCTGATGCCAGGGTTCTCAGAATCGAGACCGAGTAAGAAAAGGTTGCCGTCCAAGGTTTTCTGCGGAATGAAGAACTCTTGGAACAAGTCAGATCTGTGCGCCAACGCCGCAACAAGAGTCGTGAGCCCATCACTGCAAGTCTCTCGGATATTGTGGGCCCACGGCCAGACTGGGTCGGTGGCCTTCAGATCCGTCGGGGCGTCCTTTCTCAAGAAATTGTCGCGAAACCATTGTACATCACAGCGGGCTGGCAGACAGTCGTGCAGTCTCTTGCGCTCAGCCATCGACCTGTTCACTCGCTGCCAAATGGAATGCACAATGTCCTTGCTGACGTGCTGAAAACGCTGTGCCACGGGGTGAAGCGAGCCATGAAGTGCGAGACGTTGGAGCTGGCACTGTCCGGCAGCGTGCCGGCTGACTACGTAGAAAGGTGGCCACTCGCTCGACTGGAGCTTGCTGTACACCTCCCTGGCGGCCTTGAGGTCGGAGGCGTTGTTCCCAGCTGCGGGGTCCATGACCAGCCTGCCGTTCGCCTTCGGCTGGGTGGCGCCCCCGGAGATCACGACGCAAGACACCGCCGCGCTCGCCTCTGACCACCTGGTGTCCCGCAGCACTGCGGCCATGTCGGTGAGCGAGCCGTTGACGACGATGCAGATTTGCCGGCCTTTCCGGACCGCTCGGCAGATGGCGCTGAACACGAGTTCGTGCCCCCCCGCGGGGTCCAACTCCGCCTCCTCCGCCAAATAGTCGCAATGATCGAACTCGAACGGGAACACCTCGTCCTGCGGAGAGCCCCCGTGGCCAACCGCAGCGCTACACTCCGCCCTCAGCAGATTGGCAGTGCCCAGGGCAAGGCGCGCGCGCTCGGGGGCCCCGTTACCGCTGGCCACCAGCGAGATGTGACCGACGAGGCCCATGCGTTGCATCGACACGGCCACGCACACCGCCTGGTACCGCGATGTCTTGGCCACCCCAAAGGGCCATGGGGGCCCAGGAACCAACCAAACTTAGGTCGGGCATGTCCTCCTACAGGCGGCTTTTGAACGACAACAAACACTCGAAAAAAACATAAAAAATACAGACACATAGTAGAAAAATCGTCGCTAGACTACTTTTTTCGCTATTTTTGAATCTTCCTCCTGTAGAAGGGCATGCCGGCCTTAAAACCAAACAGCCCCTCCAAAAACCAGCACAGAATTTCGAAGCCAAAGGACGCCGGCCCCCCTGGGGGGGGGGCACCAGGCTGCGGGGCTTGAGGCTCCACTGCGCTCTGGGGTTCCAGTCTCCAGTGTTAGAGCCTCCAGTACAGTAAAGGCCTCCTCCTCCTCCCTCCTCCTCCTCCCTCCTCCTCCTCCCTCCTCCTCCTCCCTCCAGTCGAAAGTAAGCCTGGTAGCTCAAATATGGCATATAGCCTGGCAAATTGCATCCATCGCTCTGCTGTGAAGGTACAGTATGAGGGGTGGATGGATAAGATAGGATAAGATCGATGTAATGATCTTTCCAGCACATAGCGAACACTCGCGGTGTCCGGGCAAATAGGGCGCGCGTGCCTTGGGCCAAAGGCAACGGCGCGCGAGCTATGCTCCCGATACTGTAACATCTCCCAAAGAGCTACCCTTAAAGTCGGGAGGGGAGGAGACGGAGAGCATAGTCGCACGCAAAGATCGCGCGCACGACTGTTTGCAAAGAAAAGAAAACAGTGCGTACAGTCTGGTCAAACACCAGACTGTAAGGCGAGTTTCCTCGCAAAGTATTTCACGCAAATACAGGACAGCCCCTTCAAACAATGAAGGGCTATCGGCTCAGTTAGAGGTAAGCCAAAATTAGGCCATACCTCACCAAGCAAATGTGTATTAAGGCAAAGAGCCTGAGTTGTACGAAGCCGGCTCGTTGCCAGGCGTGAAATATAAGGCTCGTTTCCGAGCAACTAGAGGGGCGCCTTTATAGTAGGCGCCCGTGCTGGCAAACTGGACCGCGAGGGCAACAAGGACAGACTAAAATTGATTAGACTTAGGTTTGTCTCTGTCCTCGGGACCCCGAAAGGGAACAAATTGCTTCACGTCATACTTAAATGACTGAGTGCCTGACATCACTTCCAGAAGCAGCTCCCGATCGATGCTTCCCTTTGTATGCCCATCTGCGGTCATATCCCTAGTATCACACCATTGCACATTATGTACTATACCTATATCCATGAGCTCACGTATCCAGCTGATATGTCCAAGCAGAGTCCGTTCTGTAGGTATTTCGAGATCCCTGCTTGATAAAGATTTGTAGACGGACTCGGCGTCTATGGTAAGAGAGACTTTGATAGCAAGGCCTCCAACTTCACGCATGTCTCGTAGTTGTCGTGGAGTCAAAGCCCCTGCCTTAAGCTCGTGGAGAGTAATGAGCGTAGGGTAGCACTCATCAAGGTTATGTGCGGCTGCAAGTGCCTCCGCAGCATAACTAGACCTCACCTGTAATCGGTGTGATTTGCATAGTCCGTCACAGAGGTGAACGACGGACTTGCCTTGGGGCGAGTTTCCTCGCCGTAGTACGTTGGCCCCGCGTATGCCGTAGCCCTTGGTCTCGTCATCCTCCTCCCCGGTAAGCTTCCGATACCCCGAATCGCTATGGATGTCAACTTCATTCGTCGGCTTCATCCGAGGGGAGGTGATACGTTTCGGACTGATGATCAGCTTTCGCGTCGCAGCATTCAAACGTCTGACTTGCAAATTGGTGGGCTCTTGAATTTTCTGAAGAGAGACCACGTATACCATAAGCCAGATGTGGGTAAGAAGGGCGTAGGCGAGGGCTCCTCGCAGGCTGACGAACATGTCGGTAATGAGTTTCGTGGCTTTGGCGTCGGCCGCCGCTCCTGTAAGTTCTGGGTGTGTGATAGGACGTAGTTGTTTAATATACTCGTCCTGGTCCATGATCACATCTCCCTGATCATTCTTAGTGTAGCGAACGGCGCAGTTCGTATATGTGTGCTTGTTGAGCTTGCATTTGCCAAATACCTTTTCGACACGTTGTACATAGTCGTCTATATTTTTCTCTAGACCTGTCATGTTAATATCATCGACATGTTTTGCCGTCAGAAGGTCTTGGCTGAATTCAAATTCAGGATCGTAGCTGGTCGGTGTAAGTCCTATAGCTCGTGTGGTCGTACGAAGTTTGAGAGAGAACGCTCTTGGAGCGTCCTTAGTACCCGTTCCTGGTTTGAGGCATCTAAGACAGTGTCGACTTTCGTCGTAGGATGAGAAGCCGGGTAAGGTACGAAGTACCTGAGCGCTTCCTGGTGGAAGAGTAAAGCAAACCATGCGAGTTTCCTCGCCGGTGGCATGGGCAAGGTCCTCATAGGTCAAACCTTTTAGGAACGCCTTATCGATATCCATGGATGCTAAGATCCACTCTGGATGGCATGCCGCTTCGCTTGCCAGGAGTCGTTGGGACTGCCTTCGGGCGGTTCCCGAGAATGTTTCCACATCAAAAGCCTCAGTATCCGTAAATCCACGAAGGACCAGTCTGAGACGAATGGTTTTAACGTTCTCGGTACCCATCTTTACGAACTGCCACTTGTATACGTATCTGGATGTCATGATGTTGGAAGCTTTGGATAAATCGTACATCTCAAAGCATCGGTTAGCAATCCAGATTTTGAGCTCAGTATATAAGGCTTCACTAACCTCCTTTGGATGTGCTGCTATGTCGGCTTTGGTCAGTAGATCATCTTCTTTGACAACCACAGCACGTTTAGCAGCAGAGGATACATAAACTCTCATCGTTGCGACCATATCGGTATCGAGCTGTGCAAGTTGAGTCTGATCCAACAATATTTTTGACATTTCTGATGTAAAGCATAGTTCAACGTAAGGACCGTATTCATCACTGTCTAGAGAGTAGCTCTCGTCGGCTGTGTTTGAACAAAGAGATACTAGACAGGACTCACATGATTTCGGCTCGTCTCCGAGCATATCTGATGATGTAATATCATCTTCGTCCACAAATGCTGAAACCAAAACACATTGGTCGGGCAGCATAGTTGTTGGGACGCAATAAAGATAATCATCGGTAATCGTCGTAGGATGAAGGTCCATACGTAGCTCGTCGTACCACTCTTCCAGCATCATAGCTTCGATATTGTGTTCCTCATTTTCCTCATAGATTGTCGACAGACGGCCTTCGCTCGGCGATGAAGCATCTGGTGTGTCTGGAGAAGGCCTGTTTCCAGGCGACTCGTGTTCTCCAGACGTGTTGCTTGTATGCTGATATTTAGCCAAATCGTCGTGAAATCCTAAGGGGGGGACACGTGAAGTCAAGCATTGAATAAGTCTGGAGTGAGTGCTACCAGTGATCTGAGAAATGTTTAAACCAGTGCCCACACATTCGTAATAGTGGAACGCCGGGCTGGTGTCGTTGTCATAGTGGATCAGCGTAGACCCGGTGGCGTACTTTACTGCAGGTAGGCTTGGCACACTCTTAGCCAATCGAACTGCTACTACATGTTCTACTCGGAAGTAATTTCGTACGAGATACTGTAGTGCTAAGTGTACGCGCGGGTGAAACTTGCTGTCGTCTGACAGATTAAGGTTTCCCTTGTAATCGGGGATATACCCGAAAACTTTGGCAGGTTTCCCTGCGCTGAGGTGTGCCACATAAGCAAGGACGGTTTGCATGGCCATATTATCCATGCCAAGTTCCCGTGTGAGGAGACATTCGATGTATAGTGTGTGACGAGCATCAGGATACATCACAATTACCTCACGAGATCCTGCCTTGACAACAATATGTCCTCTTTCAGGCACATTTCGGATCACCGGGAATGGGCCATTCCAGCCTCCATGGTCGTCCTTGGTGGCAGTAGGTCGGTGGTAGTCGACCAAATCCCCTGATGAGTAGAGGCGAGCACCATCAGGAGTCGTCTTAGCCCTAAGAGCCCGATTTGTCTTGGCCACAGCAGTAGCCTGAGTTATAGCTTCTAGGCTGACTTCCCTTACACGACGTTCTCGTTCGTGTCCTGAAGTCTCGGGTCCCTTGGGAAAGTCAAGGGTATCGAGATCAGGAAGGAAGGAGGGCTGACGTCCTGTGTGTGCCTGATATGGCGATACTCCGTTATAAAACGTAAACGCATTAGTAACGAAGATGCTTCCCGCCAATACTCTATTGAATACAACAGGGGTGTTGTGTCTATTCAATTCTTCCTCAATCATGTGGAGGACGCCTCTGAGAATGCCGTTTCGTGACTCAATTGAAGTCGCGTGTTGGCCAGGTGCTCGGATACGAAGTTCCGTGCCCTTATTGGCCATCATGGTTTTAGCGGCATCGATATTCAGGGCGCCTTCTCCGTCTGAGTATAAAACTTTGAAGGGTCCGTGATAGCCAATCCAGCAATAGTGGTAGGCGTCGATGATAGCGTCACGCTCTCTGTCGGAAATTTCTAGGCCTGCTGCCAGGCGAATACAACGATCCATAATATGAAATATGGTCCGTTTCTTGTAAAACATGAGGTCCATTTCCCCTTCATCGAGCCAGTTGCCAGGAAGGCTCACCGATGGTAGTGTTGAGTTTCCTGGACGTTCCCATGCTCTACATTCCCGACAGGCATCGCAGACTTCCTTGATCATGTTCAGTCGAACATTATCAAGCCCCACCTTTTCGAGGATTAGCCTCATCTTTGGCTCCTTCGCATGATACCATCGCAGATGCAGTTTTCGGAGTTCCTTTCTCACGACATGAGGTTCGTGACTACGGAGACTCTGTAGACTGTGTTGGATGTCGAATCTCGTCCAGTCGGGTAGTCGTGGAGCCCCAGAGCCGGTGGAGGCAAGAGGGTTCCTTGTAGCTCTCCGTAGTTGGTCCCCTGTGTTAACTGCGTCTGGAGGTGGTGGTACGCCTTGTAGACGGCCGCGGCGGGCCGCTACCTGTGGCACTTCGCTAGAAGACGCAGAAGGCGTGTTTCCAC